TAGAGTCCGAGGGTCAGGCTGAAGATGAAGGCACAGCCCCTGTACCAGTACCAGAATGTAGTAGGACAATATCCTCAGGACATATCGCTTTGCCTACTGATACAGCAGATCCCAGTATCAACAAGGATGCAAGGTTCTTGAATAAACTTGGTAAAATGCTGAATAATAATGTCCATCTCGCTGTGTTCAGTGTCTGTAAGAAGATGACATAGAACTGAGTCATCCTACCTGCGGGAGAGTTAAAGAGGACGTGTTACTGATAATAATTTCTTTCACTTGCAGATATGGAAAGAATGATACGAAAAGGGGTCAAATCCAGTTGCGGTGCAATTCACACAACCACGGCGGTCTGTCACTACGGCATTCTTTCCCATTGGTATGCGCGTTCGAAAAGGTATCGGGTTACAAGACGCTATTTTGGCCTGTTTTGGACTACCCGTAAAATATTTAAAAATACACAAATAATATTTAGGGGCAAATTTCGTCAAATTAAAATGAAATTATCGTCTTAATATCCTTTAAATGTTAGCTTTTTATGTTAAATCAATGATTTTTTAAAATTTCGCTCAGAAAGACGATTATTTTCGGGTTTCCGAGCACAAGCCATATCACTTTTTTAGGCAAACATCGTTCAAACCTGGCTACGTATATTACCCCAGATCCCCGATTTTTATATTTTTCGCAGACTAGGAATAAGACAAAAAATCGTGTTTTAGGGATTTTTAATTTCTGATTTTAAGTCTAGTTTTTGTCGACATATTGGTGAAAAAATTGCATTTTTTGACATTTTTCTCACTAAATTACCCATAATCAAAATTGAGGCCATTTTTCAAAAATCCCTAAAACACGATTTTCGGGACAACCGTTACGGTCATTTTGAGCCGTAAATGGGGTATGTTTGACTCTCCATGTTTCCAGGTTTGAACGAGTTTTGGAGACATGTCATATCGCCAGAAAGTGTGCATTGTGTTATTCATACTGGCGTTAAGAATCATTACAGTTTTCAAGGTCACCCAAGGATACGACAATAGCTTCGCTACATGTTACATGTCCACCAAAAATAATAGCGGACATGTACTGTCCAGGAAACTGTTTGTATCTATAGAAAAGTGTTGTTTTTTTATCTGTTGCAATACACAGAGGTAGAAAGGCTTGTTTTGCCGCTTTATAGTAAATGACCGCAGGTGACCCCGAAATAGAACGCGGGTTCGATTCGAATTCCCCAGATCGAACACAGTTCGGATTCTATGACATGTGGGAACTTTGCAGCCCAGATTTTACCACCGTGAACTGTGCGTGTTTCAAAAACTACATCGCCTGCAATTTATTGCTATTGCAAACCATGTAGTAATGAATCTCCATGATGTCGTAGAAAGCATACACATCAATCCACAAAATCATAAAGAGACAAGTTTGCAGGTGATACAACGAAGCCCTGACAAGGTAAAACAGGGAATACGGGTTTTGAACGTTGTCTGGTTTTGGATATTGTACAACAAAACAGAAACAACTTTGTGACGAAGGAAATTCTTTCGATATACAATGGCATAATTGAGAAGCTCAAGATTGGTAACGTAGCAAACGTTTTAACGATGAGTAGATTTCTTTGTCACATATATATGGCCTATTTCCTCAGAAGAAGGACTATCATATGAAGATATATCATTACATTGTGGCATCTATATTATTAAATAGGGCAGAGTGGAGGCAGAAGTACCTCTGCTGTGGCAGGTATCAATTGCGCTGATCTTGGTGTAGGTTTAGGACTGATTTTTTGTTTCGTTGTACCATGACAGGACAGTTACAAGCGTGGACCTTGCATGTGCATCACCCGTGGAGACCCGTCGAACACCCTAACAAGCGCTTTTCTGCAAAGGAAAAGCACACAAAATTACTGAAACAAGCCTTAGGAGGAACTGAAGGAAACCCCAGATTGGGATCACAAACCAGCGGCGGAACGGCAAAGTTTATGATCATGTAGCATATCTTTTTGTTGCATTCTATCCCAACAAACTGCGGAAAGCTTATTCAGATCTTTCTCTTCGACCAACAGGACATATAAAGATAGGCTGGAACAAGTTAGAGCAAAGCATGTATGATGGGTATGCCTGTGACAAGACCATGCCGTTTTATGCCACATTTTCCTGCTGTTATACAAATGTTTGTATTTATAATTAAAAACAAATATTTGTTATGTAAACACGTTTTTCTTTATTTTAGCACTGCTATTGTATACAACTTCATATGTATATGTAACGTTTAATAAGACTTCAACCAGTTGACATGATTCCTATGTGAGTTACTCTGAGTGCTACTCACAGTAAGAGTTCAAGTTCGACGCGCTCGCCGCGCCAGTCAAGTCAGGGAAAGGTAAGCCATCGATCCTCTCTCCCGAAACGTTCGTGTTCTCTCAATGAAAATGTCCGGCTAAAAAGGAGTCTGCCTCCACCTGGGCCCGTGAAGAAACCAGGTTGCTGCTATCCCCGTGGGGCCGGAAAGAGACGCAGAAAAAACTGGGAAAGGTTCATAAAACAAGGACATCTATGACGAGATGGCCGAGCATGGTTTTGAGAAGACTTGTGGGCTAAAGTGTAGTTCGCGGCCCAGGTCCAGATCCCAAAATGTATTTCTTTGCACGAAAATGGCTATTCTTACACACAAATAAGATTGCCGTGAAAAGATGCCAGGGAGCAGCAGAAAAATTTTCTTGCTGGATGCAGAAGTTGGGAGAGTACCCATGAAAACGTTGAGGGGGGCATCTACAACGGGATGGCCAGACGGTCGAAGTGGAGGTCTTGAGGGCTGACACTCCAGCCCAGCTTCAGGACAAGGTCAATGACGCATTCACTGATAATGGAACACCTCTCAGGTAAGGAAAACGATTGGCAATAAACTCTTAAGCTTGACGGAAATTCTATAATCTACAGAGAGTCTGCAGAGAGGTGTGGGACGACATGACTAGGAGAGACGTTGCTGGAAGGAAGGTAGATAAGGTACCAATTCGGCAGGCAGTCCGCCTCATATTACAGACCCTCCCAGCTGTTAAAGATGATGCCCTAGCGCTACTTTTCCCCCGTGTGTCTCCAAATAAGTGTGGGAAAGTGACCCTCCCCGAGTCAGTACTTGGTTTGATCCTAGTTAGGCGGGCAAACCTGACCCCAGACGAGACGAAATCACTTGTCCTGAGCCCGAGGCTACCAACACTGTAACAGAGATTTTTGCCCAGCTAAATTGTTGAAATCTGGACCCAGCAGGGTCAAGCTTAAACCAGGTCGGTCAGACCAGGGAGCATTCTGTTTCGGCTTTAACTCACCTCGAGGATGCCTTAGGGCTGACTGCAGGTTCAAACATGTGGGTAGCCAGTCTGAGGGAATCAATCACAACCCTCATTTTGAGTGGCCTTCGAACATCTCTCCAGAATGAACTGAGTGCGGTGCACCCAAAAATATAGACTTTTTCTGTGGGCTGCAAAGGGATGGAATTCTAGATGCTTATTCCGTCGAAGACATTGCTGCTTTACACCATGTCTTCCTACCACGTATTAATAGGGACCTAGCAATGTTCCAAATGTGGTGGAATAACCACAAGAACTGCCAAGTCTAAAACACCAAAACAGCTGTTCCTGCAAGGCTTTCTAAAAAAATTCATTCTGACTATACCAGCGTAAGGGAATATTTTGGAGTACAAAACCCACCTGCCGACGTTGACACTCTCATTGATGAGGGATTTGACCCTGTGTTCTTGGACTTGCCAGATGAAACTGTTCATGAGCTACAAGTGGTCAATCCTTTGGCTGAGAGTGAAAACGAGGGCAGGGATTTGTATCTTCTGGCAAGAGCAATCATAAGGAGAGGGAACTAATTCTGATGTTTTCCGCCACATTGAACTCCATTATTAGCATGACTAAATCTGCGCTCCTAGCGGTCGGCCCGGTATTACACCAGCCGCCCGCCTGGAGAGACTCCAATCACTTCTGCACTGACTCCATGTGATGGAATCCAATCGTTTGTACCAGTTTGGCCCAAGAATGTGAAGGCTAGGTCAGTCCAGAGTGGAGATCTAGAGAGGGAGGTCCTGGTGGTGTCTGTCTTAGGATAGGAAGTTGATTAAACAGTTAAAGTTCGGACTCTGTGACTCGGCTCATCTGTGACACTCCAGCACAGACATGGGAAAGTGCATGTGAAGCGATTCACTGTGGAAGGTAGAAAGCATCCATTGGCAGATGTCAGGAGTAGGAGCCTGAAGGAGCAGAATGAAGTTTATGAGGACACGAGATGGGCAACAATACGATGAAATGTAGGCAAATGCTGTCAAGGTCTTTACTTACAGGTACATAGTCAGTGATTGGAAGGCCCTGGCCATTATGATGGGCCTTGTTGGCCCAACTGTTAGGCAGTTTTCTGAAAATATATTTGCATAATCATGGGTTGTTACTTATCGTCCATACCCCCTACCTGTATCATCCGTACCCCCCTTTTTGGTTTCTAGCAAAATACTGCAAAAATTGCAGTCTAAATGGTACAAGTCAGCGTAGCCTCAGGCTCATCAGAGCTCACAGAGCACATTGAAGGTACGTTGGCTCCTGTTGACTTGCTGCCTTCAACAATATCTCAACCTTCAACTTTGTAATATATTACCTGACAATGTTATCTTCAGTGCATGCATGCAGAATGAAGTCGCTTTTATGTAAGGAGGGTCAAAGTATGGGGTAACAAGTACAACCACATGCGTCTCGACACATGGTGGTAGTATACATGGTGTAAATAGGGACCTCTGACCTCTCCACTGTATTTTAAGTATGTAAGGTATTAAAACTGTGAGCTTTCATGTACCATTGAAACACACTTTGACTTGTGGTAAATATACTTATTTGAAAATTCTTCCATTCAACTTTCAAGGTGCAGCTACAACTATCCCAAGTTGCTTTGCGCGTAGGGAGGGGTGAGATAATACCGACCTGTCAGTCGGTCGGGTTTCGTGGCCAGAGAAGGTCAGCATCCATGGCGGCTCCCGTTCTGAATCCCAATGCCTCTCTCGTGGGCCACAACCCGATCCCTCTCGTGAAGCGGATCCGCGACGAGCCGACCCCCGCCAGCGAGCTGCTCGCCCGGTTCGTCGAGGACGTCCCCCTCGAGAACCACAACGACGAGGATCTCCGGGGCAGGATAAGAGCGCTAACCGGGAACGACGCCGACGATTATCTGCAAATGGCGGGCCTTGACCACAAGTCCCATGACGCGATCCTCCGGCTCTGCCACTTCGCCATTATCGCGGCTTGCGAGACGACACAGGGCCAGCCCATCCAGGCCGCCAAAGACGCCGCGTTAGAGGCGTCCCGCCTCTTGGACGACAACCCAACCCCGACCCCAACCACGAGCAAGAAAGACGCGAGCGCCAAGCGCCAGCCGCCGAACGAGCAGACCCCCGACCAGCCGGGACCCTCGAACCCGCACAAGAAGGCGAAGCGCCAGTCCGTGCCGGCTGACTCTAGCGAGAGCAGCGACGACGAGGACCTCGAGGTTAGTATCCGGTCCTCCCATGACTACTTCTCGTCTTTGAAGCATTTGTGATACGTTGATCTCCGCCACCTGTTTGGGTTACTGTATATTTTGTTTGTCTAGTGTGCCTTTGCTCGTTTTGTTTGGGTTATACAAGTGATTTGCCGTACTTTTCTTTGATATTGCACATTGTAAGATATCTCAGGCGAACATGAAAACGTATCGTCAAACTGTTTGACTCACGCTTTGAGCTGGGCTACCACCCACAGATAGACGTACTATGAGATGTGTTAGATATGCGTTCCTGGACCGGGCTATCTAGCACAGAAGCATACAGAAGTGTTTTGAACCGGTGGATACATTTCTGGGCCGAGCTGTCACCCGCAGACGCGTTTTGCGGTGTATTTAACTTTGACAGTATTCGCTCTGGTTCGGGCTGTCACCCGCAGACGCACACAAAATTTTGTATTGAAATTGTGAAAATACGTTCTGGACCGGGCTGTCACCCGCAGACGTACTGTTAAGTGCATTGAACTCAGTGGTAGGCGTTCTGGTCCGGGCTGTCACCCGCGGACGCATACAAAATTCTGTATTGAAAATATGAAAATACGCTTCTGGGCCGGGCTGTCACCCGCAGACGTACTGTTAAGTGCATTGAACTCAGTGCTAGGCGTTCTGGTCCGGGCTGTCACCCGCGGACGCATACAAAATTCTGTATTGAAAATATGAAAATACGCTTCTGGGCCGGGCTGTCACCCGCAGACGTATTTCCAAATGTATTTGAAGTCAGTAATACGCGCACTGGCCCGGGCTGTCACCCGCAAGCGCACTTTGAAGTATAGTAAAATCAGCAGTATGATTTCCGGACCGAGTCGTCACCCCGGTACCCACGGACGTATCATTGAAGTGTATCTGAAATTGGTGATATCTGCCCTAGTCCGGGCGATCACAAACACACGCAAAAATTGTACTGGAATCTTAAAGGTACGCTCTAGGCCGAGCTGTCACCCACAAACGCATTTTAAGGCATTGGAATTGACGATGTGCCGACAGTGTAGGAAGGATATCTCACACTAGTTTTTTCTTACAGAAATCTCTCCATTTTTGAAACTGAGAACCATCCCTAATTCTTTCTCCTCCCCGCCCTTTAGCCTCTTGCTGGTTTCCGTGCCATTCTGAGTACGAAATCAATGAGAGACTTCTGATAGTCAAATTGAGTTTTTTCCATTTGTATTTTTGACTTGGTCGCCCCGTTCTCGAGCGGGCAAACACCTTTCTTCCCCGCAGTTAGAATTTCTCCTACCCTAGAAACTTAGAATCCGACGCCCAAAATCTGATCGGGTTCTACACAGATGTTAGCAATTACACAGAACCATTTTCCCACGTTCCACCAACACCATATCTTGTCAGCCACAGACTTTGGAATGTGCGCAACCCCCGTGAGACGGGGAGTAACGGATGGGCTCGACATGATAGCAACACAGTCAGCGTTTTCAGTTCTCTTAATTGAACCCACACTTGGGGGTGTTGTATGAATCAAGACTGAGACCACCCTGTGTGTTTCTCTTTCTTGTTTGTTTGTAGGACGATCTCGTCCGCCTCGAGCTCCGACACCTGAAGGAGGTTTGCCTGGATCCGGGGATCCATCTTTACCCGCTGAAACTACAGAGGGCCCTCTCCAGCCTGTGCAAAGCAGCCAAGAAGACCAAACACAGGAGGGCTCGGGCCTTCCAGGCGGCCAAGGTTTTCTTCTTGGAGAACAGTACCTTCAAAGGAGTCGGCAAAGAGGTACTGAAGATGGTGCAATCCAGAGAGGAACGGCGCCTAGCGGAGGAGGTGGAGAAGGCAGCGGCAAGCCTTCGGGGCGCGGCGAAGCCGACAAGCAGGTCGTCTTACCAACACCCGCCGTGGGACCCTCCCCGAGGCCCGCCGCAACCACCGCCATTCCCATGGGGAGGGGGAAAACCAAACCGGGGGAGATGGGCCCCACGTGGTCGGTACACCCCTGGTCCCCCCGCAGCCAGGATCGCGACCGGCC